AAGGACACTGGCATGCTGTTTAGACTTCCCAGCCACCAGGATTGTGACCAAACACATCTATTAATTAATTTGTTTTAAGATGGGGAGTATGTTGTCCAGGCTGGTCTCAAATCCTTGAGACAAGTGGTCCTCTTGCCTCAGCCTCCTAAGAAGCTAGGACTATGGGCACATGCCACCAAGTCTGGGTTAAACCTCTTATAAAGTGCCTAGTCCCAGCTATTTTGTTACAGGAACACAAAAAACAGACTAAGCCACTGACCTTTTTCGACCTATCACAAAAGGACACTTCGCGGGCACGTCAGAAGACAAGGACATGTGGCCCCCCAGTACAGGCAGCGCCTCCACGTTGAAGCTTGGCTGTTGAGGTTGGTATGTGCCCTTTCAGGGTGCTCCCGCCCGGGGAAGCGCACTGCAGACACGGCACTTCTGAGCCAGACTGCTGTCTGTCCCGAGACGAGGGTCCCCACTGGGGACGAGGGATGGGTCACCTCCTCCAGTGCCCTCACCACTTAGAAACCACCCCCTTGGACAGGCCCACAGTCCTGCCATGCTCTGAATGCTGGACTCTCTTGAAAGGGCCACGTGGACTTGCAGCGGCTCTGGATTTTTTTGTCCTGCTGTCCTTGGTACAGGGAGGACTGCCACCTGGCTGGTCTCAGGACTATTTGATTGAGATATGGTGGGGAAAAAAAATAGTTCAAAGACCTCAAACTTCCATTTTTTTGAAGATTGAAGTGGGGAAAGGCAATTTCAGGTTTGGAGTCTGTTCTCTCTCAGGGACCCGACAGTGGGAAGGGCCGCATTTTCAATCTCAGGCAGTCTTAGAAGGCCGGCTCATTCTCATCGGGTCTCCTACAAAGCAGCTGGGATGGGAGCCTCATGGACAGCGGGGCCCACTACTACCTGAGCCAGTGGCTGGGGCGGGGGGTTCACTTTGGCTGTAGGTGGTCATTAGTTCACTGGGGCGTTGCTCAAAACCTTCTAGGAGTAGAAGTCAACTGCTAATCCAGAGAACTAGGGGGATCACCGAGGAGTATTGGTGGGTACTAGGGATGTGGCTTTATGGATGACGGGACTTTTCCTTAGCAGAGGCCTACCCTGAGTGACCACCTTCTTAGCCCAGTGGGCAGAGAGGACACTGAGGAATACTGGGTTACTGTGTTCCCAGGAGACGACATCCACAGTACTGCACCTGGCCTCTCAGCCCCATCTTTCCTAGGACGATTCTTATCTGAATTGTCCGAATGTGTGGTGACAAGGCCCTGACTCTGCGTGTCACTTTTCTGGGCTGCAGGACACTACCTGTTTAAAAGGTTCACACCCTGGGGACCTAGTCTTTCATCCCTTTCCCAGCCTCGCAACAGGCAGCCATCCTGGTGACAGCGCACACTCCGCAGACCCATGTCCTCCTTCAGGTGGGCTGTCCCAAGGCCAACACGTGCATGGGGGTGGTCTTACAAGTTTGTTGGCCTTAAAACCTGAATTATTTCTTTAATCAGTGCCATCAGTAATAAAAGTTGATGAAAGTGAAAAACAAATCTACGCAGGTGAAACTCCTTGGAGGCATCTCAGTCCTCTTGTCTTTGCCTGACTGACCATCAGTCCTGCTGGCCCACATCCTGTTTGTCCACAGCACACAGATAAAGGGAAGACCAAGAGAACCCAGAGTCTCCGTGGTCAGTGATTTAGCACACAGAGCCCTGTAGTTCAGTGAGGAAAGTGGCCACATGCAGTGACCCTGATGGAGCAGCTGACCTGAACGCAGGAAAAATCAATCTCACACAAACACAAGAAATGACTGGAGATAATCGGACTTGAACACGGAAAAAAAAAAAAAAGCTCAGGGTAGAATATCAGCAGGAAGTTGGGAAGGTAAAAATCAATCCGAACACTGGGGCAAGTGTGTGCAGTGTACATCAACAAAGGACTCATCTCCACACTCTGCGGAGGGCCCGAGGGAGGAGCCACAAACAGCCAACTCAGTCAACATTTTGAATAGACAAGACTTAAAGAAGAAGTCCTTCATAATGATATGCAAATGGCCAACAGCATGAAAAGGTGCAGTGTCACTAGTCACCAGGGATATGCAAATTAAAACAGCACCCACCAGTGCACCCCATCAGAGTGCTAAGAACATGGAGAATCCCCCCCCACCCGCTCTTGCCTGGTTAGGCTTCTCCACTCTTGCCCCTCCTCCGTGCATCACTCCAAACTGCAGCCGGATGCTGCCTCCAACATTCACACACACTGCGGCGCAATCCCTCCTCCACCAGGCAGGACCCCAGCTAGGTCTTCCCATGGCCCACCAGAGCCATGAGTTCTGTCGCCCTTCAACCTCTCCTCATGTTTTCTGGCCATCTTTAGCACAGTGGAGCACACAGAGGAGCAAGCATACCTTGCTGTATGCATCATGCACTAATCAGACGGGGAAGAAATACAACATAAGCATAACTGGGTGTCTTCAAGAAGCCATGCACAGGACAGATCAGCCTTGAAAAAGCCCATCCTTGAATTACTGGAGTGAATCCCACTCTGTTGTGGCACATGTACTATGCTGTGCTGCTAGTCTGTGGTAACTTGTCCTTTTGTGCCACTTTTAGAGCTGGGGTCCCTGCATGTACCTCTGTGCCATGGGTTCTATCAGTGCCACACTCACTCCATATAAAGGATTTCTGATTAAAAAGGCAGCAATGATTTGGGCAATGAGATGTGAAGCACCGGGCCCTGGTTCTTCCTTGTCAGTGGCCTCATCAGCCACCTTAGCATTCACCTGAGGCAGCTCCATCTCCAGGGGCAGGGCAGGGCAGGGCAGGGCAGGCTGGCATGCTGGAGTCTGAACACCAGCATTGCTGATCACAGACACTATGACAGCACAAGGCACCAGCCTGTCTCTGCTCCTGCAAAGTGAGATTCCGATTCTCAGAAAGGCAAGTGGGTTAATTTGGGTGAAGATCCATCTTCCCGCTTTGTCTTATGTCAACCTCAACTCCCCTTGCCTATGTAGAGATTTTGAGGGAAGGTAATTCAACACGCATTCCTCATGGCCCAGTTCCAGTTTTGCTATGTCCAAAACCTTTGGAATAATGCTGCCCCACAAAAGGCCTCTCCTAGACCCCTTCCCAAGTTGCTCAAGTGAACCACAGGCAAAAGCCTGTCGTGTAGTTCTGTTCACTATAATAAAACACCCAAGCCAGCTAACTTTAAAAAGAGGAAATATTAGTTCAGTTTTGGAGGTTCAAGGGCATGGTGCTATCACTGCTCAGTTCTCAACGGCAGCACACCCTGGCAGACGTATGTGTGGAAGAACTTAACTTACACTGCCAAACAGCAAGTCAGAAAAACTAGGGTCCCACAATCCCCTTAAAGAGCACACCCCAGTTATCCAAGGAACTCCCACTAGAGCCCATCCCCCAAGGGTTCTACCACTCCAGACAGTGCCACCCCAAGGACTAAGCCGTCAATCATAATGAGAACTTGACCATTATGACCACATGCAGATCATGGCAAGGCCCTTGCTATCCCCTGCACCATCAGCTGGAATATCCAAAGTGCTAACCAGGCTTATTCAGCAGGTCCTTCTCACGCCACGTCTGGTGTGTACCTAGAATGTCACCACACCCTGCTGTGCTAGTGAAGCCCATGAATGCCAAAAAGCCCTGGAGTTGAGGTAGTCAGCTCTCAGAGAGCAAGTTGAGCCTACTCAGGGGCTGTGCCTTCCTCATAGGTAGTGAGAAGTCCCTGTGCACAGAACACAAACCCATGAAGCCTCATTTCCAGAAAAAAAAGAAAAAATATATATATTCTTTTACAAAATTAAGGAGAAATTGATGAAAGGAAGTTAGAAAATCCCAATGGGCAATCTGAGAGTTGGAAACCCTCTGCTGAGCACCACACTTCTGGGGAATTTACACAAACTGTGCTTCCAGCTTGGGAACCAGTAGACTCGAGTGGAACTGAAGAGTAGCCATGGCAGAGTCCTACAAGACATGGCAGTATACAAGACCATCCCAAAGGACGAAGCATTGGAAACTATAAAAGTATTGTTTCCTGTGTTTTGAATTGTGACTGTAAAATAAATCACTGGTTGTTTTGGCAAACAGGCAATCCTGAACCGAGAAGTATGGCTTCATTTGCCTCTGCACCAGCCTACACTGTTAGGCTGTACTTCACCAACTGGCCAGGCACACGACAGACAGCAGCAACAGTGTTCTGGCGTCTCGGGCCATCTCTTCCAGACAGCTCATCTTCAACAACAATGTCTGAAAACACTTCTAATGACATTTTCCATTTACATTTTAAATAGATGTTTAAAATGGAGGAAAAGCTAATAGCAGGTAGTTATTAGACACAAAGTACAACTTCTGCCACCTTGCCCCTCTCAGATCAGTTGAGGAAACAAGAATCTGCACAATTACATCCGAACGTTAGACCAACTGAAATTCCTGTTCTGACATCCGGGGTCAGGGGGAGTACAGGGACGGGAATGTGACCCCCTACTCACCAGGAGCTGTCACTGACCCCCCCACACCTCTGGCCATACCATGAACAGACAAAACTCATTTCCACACACACCAATGTGAAAGTACACAACAGCACGTTTGTTTTACCTGTCACTGTTTCAAACAAGTACTGTTGCTCTTCCAGCAAAACTGAACAAGAGGAAACGACAATGTCTGGGACCCCCTCACCGCAGAGCAGGCTCCTGTGCCCCAGAACATGTGCTGAAAGGGGGTGGCTCCTGACTGGCGAGGACAGACTCCACAGGCTTCGTGACCAGGCGGGAGGAGAAATTCTGGGCCACCTAATAGGCATGTACCTGGAGTTGACTTTCCTGCACGAACGTCTCACCTGGTGTATTTTGCTTATTTAAGCAAAATATAAAACACTTTCATTTATACCCAAAGCAAGATGTGCACATAATCTTTACCTTGAAAATGAATCACTGGCATAAAGAAAATTTAAATTAAAAACTTTCCAAAAGAAAAAAGTTACACCAGGAATACTGTATCACTACAAATTTTATTCAGAAACCCATCTTTGTGTTTTTTTTTGTTGTTTTTTAAAAAAAATTCCCATTATGAACTGGTTTGATCAATCAACTACAACACTTTCTAGCAGACATACGGTAAAAATGGCATGGCTCAGAATCGCCCAGATCTTTCACGATCTCTCGATCGCCTCCTGTCACGCTCGCGGCCCCCACCTCCTCCGCCGCCTCCACCGCCACGACCACGGTCTCTGGACCGAGAGCGCCGCTCCCTGGATCGGGACCTGGACCTGTGCCTGCAATCAAGGAAAGGAACATGCAATCAGCACCAACACTCCTGAAAATGCAACAGCCAACAGCCCTTTTGAAGGGAGAAGCGCTTCAGATAGTCTTGGGACAAAGATGTGCATCTTAACATCAATTAAGTATGACCCCTCCACCTTCTACGTCTTCCTCCAGTAACAACTCACATGACCACGGGAAAGCACCATAATACATGATCCTGACACGCACCCTGCCCCCAACTCTGAGCAGGCCCTCCCCTCAGGGACACCCACTACTGAGCCCAGGAGGCCTATTTTGGGGCAGGAGAGCAGAGTTCTTTTTCTCCTCTGCTTCCTGTTGTTGGTAGCGACAGAGGATCCCCACTACTCCATTTCCTGACACATGTTTAACAAGAGAGGGATGAGAACCCTTCTAAGATCAGAATTCAGCCTAACCAAAAGCGTGACTCTTCCTATTCACCCCTAATGCCTTGACTTTCTCTGCTGTGACTTAACTGCTGCACCCAATTTTGTCAGTAGTAGAAACAGAGAACTGACACCCGTCAAGAGAAAATGAAGCAACTCCCCCCAAAATCAAAAGGAACCAATAGGCACATGGTATTTAAAGGAAGCTACAATACCTAACTGGAGAGTAAACTATCGCACACACTGAATTTCAGTGGTCTCCTTCTTAACATTTCTGGTGACTAAGGTTTGATTTCCACTTCAGAAATAAAATCGTGAACATTCTTCAAAAAGCATATTTCACATTAAAAAACAGAATACACGCACATACACATAAATAATAGGTGCCTTTTAAAGAATGGAATGAAGTCTGTTTAGTCTTGGATGAAATTAAGTTCTACAGCACACATGCTGTTGAGTACTCACTTCTTGCGACGGCGCCCATACAGCTCCCGCCGCAGCTCTCTGGAAATGGGCTTGAGATGCATGAAGTTGCAGAAGCCTCCTCGTGTGCACTCTCTGTGGGTCAAAGCCAGAAGTGTGTCATGCACTGCTAGGGCTGGAGCATGCGCAGCCCACACGCGGCTTTGCTGTCTGCCCTGCACTCACCCCATCTCATACTGGCGGCAGCAGGCTTCCCTGAAGTCGGTCACAGGAGACAGCTCAGCATGGATTGGCTGTCCATTAAACCAGCGGTTATTCAGGTCAATCACAGCCTTTTCTGCATCTTCCTCACGGCGAAACTGGAAAGACAAAAACAAAACTGCTTGCCACTCACCTTAGTAACACATTTTCAGTCATCAATCCTGCTACATGTTACACACTGAGGTGAAATTTCTAGGGTGGTATAGTGGTGCAGAACAACTGAGAAGTCAGAAGTCAATGGCTCCTTTTTTTTTTTTTAAACAATTAATTTCATTATAGCCTAAGACCATGCTAAATGTTGCATTCATTTTCAAATTCAACATGCTAAGAGCAAAGGTGATTGCATAGGCAATGCATTTTATTAAACAAAAAGGAAAAAGACACAAAACATAAAACTGCCCCAGTCAAAACAGCTCTAACCCAGTTATGTCCCTTGCCATTGATGACAACCATGGTGCACTGTCCTTCCTCCCAATCCTGTTGACAGGGTGTAGGCTGGCGGCCTCCGATATCAAAGCCACGACTGGGAGTGCTGAGTTACCACATCAAAATTCCTAAGTTCCCACATTCATGATCTTAAGGCCAGCAGCTCAAAGGGCAACAGTCCTTGGTCACCAGGCTCAGCCAGCTAACCAGTGTCCTACCTTGACATAAACGTTCCCCACTAGGTGATCTCCTAGGTTGTCACAGACGTTCATTTCCTCGACTTCCCCGTACTTCTCCTCCATCTCTGTAAAAACCTCCTGAAGGGAGAACACAGTGGTTTAAGGACTGTGAAATAGCCAAGCCCGGTGTCACTAACTGCACTCATGTGTGTTCAGGGGGTGAGTGTTAATCCCTCCAAGCAGATACGGTGAGGAGGTGTGCAGTCCATGGTCTCACCTCAAAGAATTCATCATAATGCTCCTGCATCTCCACATCGCTCACAGCACCTACAAACAAGAGAGATCTTGCTGGTTAGAAGGCGGCCGCCCAGAACTCTCCTCTTTAAAGTTCAACTGCTACATTGACACACACGATTGTCTAGAGGAACAGCAGGCCAGCGCTGCACGCTACAGGAGCACCGGCTTGCCAGTGACTTAGAGCGTGCTGAGACTGTGAACGCCCGGCAGTCTCAATTTTGGCTACTAAAAATCACAACCAGTTTTAATCAGCATCAAAGGGCTGTACTTTCAGGAAATGCGAGGGAAGGGTGACTCTCAAATTAAGACTTGAAAATAAGTTTCCTTCCTTTAAGATTTAGAATAGAGGTCAAGTAAGCACACTACTTTTCCCCTTTATTAAAATAAAAGCTGAAATCAGGGCAAACGATTAAGAGCTTATGTGCCTAACTAGTTTTTTCTATACATTATCAGCCACAGAAGGCTAGAAAGTTCTTTCTGATGCGATTAAAACCCAAGCGATCAGAGACTCAGCAGGACCATTAACCAGTTACAACTTCAGTATTTTGGATGCCCCGAGTAAACGTAAAGTCATGATGCTTTACAGAAAAAAGCATTCTTCTTTTATGCCCCAGAACTATTTTTTATCAAGTTCACCCTTCACAATTCACATGCACTAAGTGAAATCATACCCATTACATGGATAATTTTGCAAATTTACATTCTATTCCCATCATCATTTTTGCTATCAAATTTTACTATTCTAGAATTCTGGAGTTCTCGTGATCTAAATTTGAGAAATCGTAAAGCTGGCAGGTCAATGAAGTCATGTTCCAAACAGGTAGGTCAGGGCCAAAGGCCCAGCTGGCTTCAAGGCTGGGCTGGCTGGGTCTCCAATTGTTACCTTCCACGGCCACGCTCCTGGATGAGAGGTTAGCTGACAAAGCTCGCTACCTCACTTGGCGCAGCCCACCAAGGGCATCTGTGACTGGGGTGTGTGTACACAGACTGGGCTGCCTTTGAGCTCACTCAAAACCCTTTTTATTCATTCTCAAAGATAATAGCTAACTTATCTTCTATTCTGAGAATAAGTCCTCTTTTTAAATTAATGGAGGCTGTGTTTTAGTTATTTTTGAATTTCCAGAAATTCAGTTTGCCTTACAATCCAAGACTGAATGAATGTGCTAGGCAACACCTATGACTTCTGACAGCCAACCTGCCACTGGAACCACAAAAGGCCCAACTCAGCTGTCAGGAGCACCTGGTCCCTGAGTGGAACTCAAAACAGCAGGAAGCCAGAAGCCCATTCCAGGGGTGGATTTGAACATTATTTACAATCCATTTCCTTTTCCGTATCAGAAAGAATGTGAAAAGAAAAAGAACTTAAAGTTTTAGCAGCTTTGAGAAGTTTTCTGTGGTGGCTCTTTTGAACTACTGGCTACACTCATTTTGCTTAGAATTTTTTAGTGAAAATAACTTGAAAGGCAGAGATCGGTACATAGTAACCAAATGGAAACTACTTAAATGACTCAATATATTTTAAATAATACAAATTTTAATAACACAAATTTGAAAAACAACTAGTTTTCTTAGAAGAGTATCACTCAAAAACTGGGACTCATGTTTAACTTCAATTCCTGCACATGAAGCTAATTATCCTAGGTATGAAAGGGCAGAGCCAGTGATTTCATTTAGGAACTGATTTTCTTTCTAAAACCCAAAATTATAAGTCCATTTAATTTGTACAATCTGGATGGACCCCAGAATTGGAACATTTAATAACAGCTAAACTTTCAGTTTGTAGCATATGCAAAATAAGAGTACTGTGAATTGCAAATAAAGACACAAAGAAAACTAATGCAACACTATGGTCAATGAAGCATACGCAGTCCCCAAGTGAACAACCAGGGCAGAGATTTATTAATAACTGTTAATCATCTATTTCTCATGTATCTTCACCCCAGGGTTAACAAAAGTCCATACTTAAATGTTTATTTCCCTCCACTACTGGCACCTTATTTCTTTTAAAAAGCGAACAACCTAAAAACAAAACACCAGGTATTTTAAACCAAGGATTACCAAGTAAATCCTGCAACTACCAGATTCAGGGAGAGAAATCTCTATCAAGTGAGTATTAGCATACAAAAACATTTAGCATCTCAGCAGGAAGTTTACAAGAAAATCCCACCTCACATGGAAAGGTGCACCAAGGCACCCCTACTTGAGGGCCAGCTCCAGTGGGCAATGGCCCCCTGCCCCCAGGACCATTTACCCAAGGTAGGTTACCCTACAATGGAGAGGTTCAGGTTTAAGGGTGTGCTTGATTTAGGTCTGTGCTATCCAAGGACAGCTTTATTAATTTTTACTTTAAAATAAACCAGTGAGAGGTCTGACCCTTTGGTTTGGACTCCTTATTCTAACTGGAGTCCAGGAGTTCATTTCAAGTTACCCACAAATGACTAATTCCCAATGGTTCTATTGCTGGACACTTACAAACTTCCACTCTATAAATATTCACAACCTAAACAGAGTTCCCAATACAGGAAGAAACTGGTAATGTTTACTGAATGCCAGTTTAGATCTGTTTCCCCACTAAGTGCCTTTTATTTCCCCAAAGCAGCACTTAACTCCGGCAGTTGGAGATTTTATCTAGGCAAAGCAGGCGGCCCCAAACAGTGTCTTGCGCCTATCTGAATGGAGTACACCACACGGTGTGGTAGGAAAACTGAGAGGTCTACACAAGCTACAGACCTTCACTGGGTAATATAGAACAAGCTCTTGCAATTAAAAGCAAGACCTCCAAAAAGGAGTTTTAGTGAAAAGGCTAATGAGAAAAAAAACCTAAAAAAAATTCAAATCAATTTGTTTTTGAGAGTTCAGAAAGTGAGAAACGTTCAGATACTGCTGCTCTTAAGAGGGAAGAGCAGAACTTGAACTCAATCCCAGGATGACAGTCCAAGTGAGAAAGAAAGAGCAGCAGGTCCGAACTGTTTCAAAGGGTGCCCTTTCCAGTCACTGTTGCTCTGGCACAAAGGGCCGGAGTTCAGATCTCCAACAGAGGCTTCCACGGGATCAGTGGGACACACTCCTGCCACCTCTAGTGAACGTGGTCCTCGACACTAGCACAGCAGACCAGATGGAGTGGGCACTGAGCTCTGACACGCAAGCCCAGGGAACCAGGGAAGGAACTTGTATGAACTTACAGCGCAAACCGTCAGCAGACTGGGAAGAGTTTTGAGGGTTACGGTAAATGTTCAAGAGGGCAATGGTCTGAAATACAAAACGCAACAACTTTATATTACGGAAAATTAAATGTAAACACTTAACCGGTTGCCTTTGGCGATCGCTTCAGGTGAGAGTCAGTGCTGAAAAAAGAGGAGGTTATTTTCTTCAGAAGCAGAGATGTTCCCTTAGTTGGTGGCTGTCTTGATCTACCCTAACACTGCAGTGCAACAGAGATCTCATGAGATGCCAATACTGTACTTCTGTTTACAGAATGTAAAAACGCTCCACTTTAAAATTCCAATCCAAGTAAGAATGCAAATAGCTTGCCAGGTGACTACCAGTGTCCTCAGGTGTGACAGAAAGCTTAACAACTGAGAAAGAAAAGCACCTCTATAAACGGGTGAAAAAATTGCTAATAATTCGAGAAATACAATAATTACATGTCATGAAATCTCCACTTCCTAGAGGAAAAATTATAATGGTGAAATAGAACCCACACTTATTGGGCAACTTACCTTGCTGATTTCCTCAATATTCCTAGCATTTTAAATTTTACAGAAAGAACTTAATAAAGGCCAGGGGTTCAGTCACCGTAAAGACCAATGACCGGCTATTAACATTAAAACCCGTTTCACGTGGACGGACGCTCTCCAGACAGATGTCAGTCAATGGAAGAGGCCGCCAGTGACCCTTCCTAGGAGAGCCTCCTGAACATGGCCCATATCAAGTTCTGGCTGTGTGCGCCACGCTGTTCCAGCACCTTGTCCTGTTTGCAACAGCTCTATGTCAGCAGCTCAGAGCCAACATTATGTCTCAATTAAGAGTGGGCTCTTGAACACCATCGTTTTAAAAAAATTTCTCCAACTGTGGGACTTACAGTGTGAGCCGTCAGCCGTCTGTGCACTGTTTTGGGGATTACGATAGATGTTTTGAATCAAGATGGTCTGCGGGGAAAAAAAAATAAAAAGGGGAATTCTACTGGCTGCTGTGCATATATTAGACAATTGCAAAGAGACAATTTGTTTGCAAATGGCTAAACGTTTGTTGTTTTTTTTCCCGCAAGTCAGACACTTTGTCTTGTGCAGAGTACACCAAAACCATCATATTATGAAAACAGAGTTTGAGCAGTGACTTGGGTCAAGTCAGCCAGCAACCAAGAAGAAACTGTAACTGTTGTTTTGTGGTCCCCGTTATCAATAGTAAAGTGCTTTAATACAAGATAAATAATAGAACGCTAACATTTTCTTGTACTTCAAGCCAGCAGACACGAAGATGTCAAAAAACTCACATTATAATCATATTCCCCACACAAAATTATTTTTCTCAACCAAATGCATAACTCAACTGTATGCAGTACATCAAGTTCTCTGGTCTTAGCAAAACAGGCACACCAAGTTGTCATGGATACCTGACTCTTATTTACACTTTCTTGGTGGGATCTCTGTTTACATAATACAATAGTTAAAACATTTGCTCTTTTCCGATCCTTCTTTTAAGGAAAAAAATCCTTTTAGCCCTTGTGCTTTAAAACTGGATCAGGCAGACTTGAAACCTTACACTGTACCGTTCTTCTTAAAATCAAGTTGTCTGAAAAAACAAACCATGTTTGAGTTAGTAAGCTAATATATTACATGAATCTTGTCCACATCACTGTAAGAAGCTTACAAAGAAACCCACCCTGAATTATGCTAGAGATTTACAAGCTGAACCAACACACTGCATGATTTAGAAAAATAAATATTCATTCTTAATAACAGGGGTGTCAAGAAAGCATTTTCCAAGTATTTTAGTCACCCAGTCAGTTCTACTCTGAGCTATCTTTAAAGAGGCATGGTACCAAGGGACATTCCTGCAGGCCTGAGCTGGAACCCACCTGGAGGAAGGGCTGAACTCAGAACGCTCACCCTGAACCATGAGAATAAAACAGCCAACTTCACTCAGGGCCCAGCACCCTCCCTACCCATCAGGGGCTACCCTGAGTCAACTCATCTTGGGCCTTGGAGGTTTCCAAAAAATTGATTCTACACAGCTTCCTCAGGGATCGCGGGTGTGAGCACTGACTACAAGCTAAACAGAGCCTGGATACTCAATGATAAAACTCACTACAGGGCTCCCTCCAGGCAGTGGCTGTTTGCTGCACGAAACTTCAAATAAAGGGGTGAAGTGGTTCCATTAAAATTGGGGGCAACTAGGATTACCTCCAACTAACAAACCAAACCAACACAAGATACTGACCTCATACTGCTGATCCCATCAAATTTTAATGGAAGCACCTCCATGTTCTAATCCACAGTATTCAAATCAATTTCACATTTAACCTCCTGAAGAGATCAATGATTCAGAAAGAAGAAAAATCAAGTGTTCTGGCTCAGTTAAAGGGCATTCTTAAGGAGAAAACAGCCAGATACCTGATGTGTACTTTCCCCAGAATAAAAAATCGGGGTAGATTTCAAAGACTTAGTTACTGCACAATCTATAGCCACTAGTTTAGTTGGGGAGACTTAGCTAATAATTCAAATTAAAACACAATTATAATAGAAAACTTAAAGCAAGTTCTCTGATATTTTGAAATTCACAAAAACAAACAGGGACATGTTTGGTTATTAAAGAGGAGATTTTTGTTACACTAACCATGTAATCATGAGGAATGCTGTGAGGAAAAAGGCATTATGTGCTTCTTTTTTAAAAAACATTATGTGGTAGGGTTTTCCCAGAGACTTAAAACATCAATGTCTCTCTTCCAACTCACTTCTACCGGATGATTGTCTTATTAAAGAATACATCCAGTCTGTGAGAAGGATAAAACATCAACAGAAAGGTGTGTATTCAAGGCTGAGTCCAGCAGCTTCTGAGAGTTATGCACTGTAGCCACCAAAGGGTCGAAGTGCACCTTGTGTATGGGGTGATGAGAAAGGGGCTCCTCAGTCTCAGTCCAGACAGACTTAATGACACTTTCTGCTACTATTAGAAGTATTTTGTCCTTTCAATCCATCAGTAAGCCCTTGTAGGGCACAGATCCTTGCCTTTTCTTCAATCTGCCAAAAACAAAACAATCACCAACACCCCCCCCCCCCCCCCCCCAAGATTGAACTCAGCTCAAGATAACAGGCATCTCTCAATTAATTGAACAGGCCTGCTATGGACAAGGTATGCTTATCTTCTACTATTAAGTTTCATCTTAATGGTTCCAACATGGTGCAACTTGCTGCTTGCTCAACTTGGGGTGTAAAAGTGGGAACTTCTCTGGGGTATCAGAGGAACTCAGTAGCACAGTGTGTCGGCCTGCTGACAGACAACCATGCCAACATCCCTTGTCCAGTGGCTGAATCACTCTCTAGAGAGAGCAAAGAGCAGAAAGCCCACTCTGCATCCACCACAGCCTGGACAAGAGGTGCAGTCAAAGCTGGCATTTTCCTCACCAAACCATATATATCAGGGGAGGGACGGCAGGGCAGTGAACATCAGTCACAGCCAACACAGAAACATTTAACTTATTTTTAAAAAGTTTCTCTAGTAAGAAGAATAAGGGACCTCCCACTATGGGTGGTTCACCTGCTTCATTCTCACTTAAACAAAAGGACACATGAACACAAATACAAAATAAAACTAGAGGAAAAAAGACAATGTATGGAAACCATTAAGTGCCTCTGAAAAATACAAAATTTTGGTAAATTTACATGAAAACAGAAAAGAAAAAACAAACAAACCTGGCTAAAGGTCGGTTTATTGTGCAACCGAGAGCATCTGTCTCCATGACGACATGCTCCAATTTTGAAATAAAATGAGCAGTTGACTCTGCAAGGGAAAACAAGAGCTGATTATTTTACTGTGACAATATCAAAAGGGAATATGCCATTAACGTGATATATATACCATCCAACTACTTTCCTTTTACTTCACAAAAGCGCAGGCAGTTTTTCTGGGTGGCACCTTCCTCTTCCTTGCAATATCTTAGGATTACTCCTTTTCACTTTTACTCTTCTGGTTTTTCTTAATTAAATCAAGTATTTAGTATAGGTTAAACCTAAGCCCTATCCTCTATTTTGTCCATGATAAAATTCTGGAGGACACCAGCAGGGTATAGGGAGAAGAGAAACCCCAACTCTACCAGCTGCCTGGCTTGGACAAGTTCGCCACTTCTGCAGGTCACAGATGCTGTCTGTAAAATGAGAAGGAGCCAACCTGATACTGTTCTGAGAATCAGATACAACATGTATGTGCTTCATACACAGGACTCATTTAGTACTACCACCAAGGAAAACAGAAAACAAATTTCAGGTTCTCCTACAACCCATAAGACCAAGAGAAAATTTACAAATAAGTCTGAAGTAAACAGGAAATCAAGGGATCAAGCATGTCTTAGAAACTATCTCAGATCATCTCTGTCTTTATACATTGATCAACCAGAACAAGTTGCAATCAGCACCTGCACAACGATAATGCCAAGTAATGTGGCGAATCTGTGAGGAATTATGAAATTGTACTAGACGGACTTCATTCAAGTTTCACCTTGCAGAGTGAAAGTGCTACTCTATAGACGCAATTTTTTAGCAAGGACATGTTCAGGAAGTCAACCCCGAATTATGACTAATGGCCTCAACTTTCAAAAAAACATGACTGATTAGCCATGAAGATTGTTAGCTATTACCAGACAGCAATCAAGATGGGAAGGTTTGTGAATTTATCAAGAAAGGAAAATAATCACTATGTATAATTCTCAAACTTAGAAGTAACTCTGACTTTAGAACTTGATCAGATAATAACATATTAACGAACTCAAGTGAAAATAAATACCTTATTTAACAAATATCTCAGAATGAGCAAAATCATTGCTTGAACAATTAATATTCAATTATCCCATAGAGATAAAATAACCCTTGTTCCTGTACTTCCAGTGATGGGCTTTCATTTCAACCAATTCGCTATTTAGAGCTTAGTAAATTAATCAAAACTTTTTTTTTTGGGGGGGGGGGTAACTTTAGTGATTTTCTTAGTATAACTCCAAAACGAAATGCCATAAGAAAAAAGGTTTACTACCACAAACCAACCACTAAAAAGGCTGATTTATATTTGAAGCTAGAAAATGGCCATAACTTAACGTGCATAGTTACATATATATTTTTTAAAATTGGTAGAGTAGTCCCACATCTATCTTCTAACTTTAATTAAAAAAGGAAAAAAAAAAAGTTAATAGAAACCATAGCTTTCATTTTTTAGGAGCTGATCTTGTTTCCTGAAGTTAAGCCCATGCAACTCCCTGAAATGAGAACATAAGTGACCTAGATAATAAACTTTCTGAATTGAAACCATGACATGTGTGATTCTGCCTTAAGAGGCAGAAATATGCCTAAAGCAGGAATGTAAAAATGTTACTGGAGTAACAAGCCACCCAGGACAGCTTCTCACAACACCCAGTGACAGCACACAGAAACACACATGAAAAGGTGAACTGATGTCCCTGGTTCTGCATGCATAAGTCCTGCAGCTTCCATGTCCAAGGACATATTAGGCCTGTTTCCCAAGCCACCTCCTATACCTCAGAGCATTTAAGGTACACACTCTTCCACAGCATTTCAAGGTATTTTACTTTAATCAATCTTGACACTCCCTCCCACTACAATCCCTAAAGACAAGACCCAAATTTTATGAATCTCTGAGTTCCCAGCATGTCCCATAGCTGATATCCAATGTATGTTTCTCCAGTGACTATGACTGCTGATTCTGGCGTGAGATTTCTAGAACGAAATACATCCCCTCTCCCAAACAAGACAGGGGATTCTATCCTGTGTAAAGAAGACATTTGACAGGGCAGCCTCCAGCCTGGAAAACAGAAACATTTCAATAGTATTTGAAAAAGTGGCATCAAATAATATCATCTATGACAAATTTAGGGGCTTACCAGAAAAAACAGATGTTTGCATAAGCTTTGCATGGCGCTCAAGACCACTTACTGGGAGTAGATTATGCCAGACGCTTAGGCTTTGGGTTTTCAAAGTAGGAATTATCCTTCAAAGCGTCTGGAGACTTCTCTTTACCCTAAACTTCAGCCAACACACTGAAATTAACACGTGCCAACACGGCAACCAAACACAAGCGAAATTTGATTCTTCACTTTTAACCTAATAGCTGATGAGGGAAGACATGCAGCCTTTACAGGGAGGAAAAAAACCGAACCCCCAAAGAACCCCAAAGCCCCCTCTGCTCGCATCGGAAGCGCGACTCCCGAGCGCTCCGGGAGCAGGGCCTCCGTGGCGGCGGCGCGGCTAATCCGGCGTCTGGCTGCGCTTTCCCACTTCAGGGTCGCGCCGCCGGCCCGCCATGGCTGGGGCGGGCAGCAGGCGGGCTCCGCGGACCTGCCCCGACCACCACGACCCCGTGCCGCCGGCGACCGGACGCTGGCGAGGCTGGGGCTGGGGCCGGCGTGCCGCAGGCTGAAAGTTGGAGAAAACGAGTCAGCGCCGGCCGGGCCCGGACCCTCGGCGGCCACGGCGGGCGGGAGTCCGGCGTCCAGGCCGCGGCGCGCCCCACCCGCCCGCTGCGTGGCCCACGAGGCGGCGGCCCAGGCGCGCGAGGCCGGAAGGCCGCGCTCCCGCCCGCCGCGCTCTGCCCGCCGCCCGGCCCCGCGCCCTGCCCGCGCCCAGCCCGAGCGCCGGAGGACGGCCCTCACTCACTTGTCTTTCTCGGTGCCGAAGATGGAGGCCAGGTACTCCGCCATTTCCCACCCGCCGCCGCCGACACGGCTGCCGACGCCGCCAACCCTGCCGACGCCCGCGGGAGACGTCACCGGACGCGACGACGCTCCCGCCCGACGTGGCGGCGCTACCCAATCCGAGAAGGCACCGCCCACGTGTGGGCAGGACTCGGCTCATGCGCACACTTGATCCTTCGCCCCGGGCGCTCGTGCGCCCCCTGCCGGCGCCCTGCGCCCCTCGCGCCCGCGCTCTACCTGGGCCGGGCCTGTGCGCCACGCCGCTTAACCCGCGCTGAGCGGTTTCCGCCAAAGTCGTGTCGGGCTCCGCGCACGGCGCTAAGCTTGCCTTCCGTCTCCGGTCGCCTGCCGCCCGGGGCGACTCCTCCTTTTCGCCCCATACCCTACACTCCTGCTGGCAGGACCCCCAGCCCTCACCCCACTCCCCTCACTCCTGGGGCAGGACCCCCCAGCCCTCACCCATTCCTGCGGCAGGACCCGCAGCCCTCCCCCACTCCTGGGGCAAGACCCCCAGCCCTTGCCCCACTCCCCCCAATCCTGGGGCAGGACCCCCAGTACCTCCCCACTATCCCCGACTCCTGCGGCAGGACCCGCAGCCCTCCCCCACTCCCCCCCACTTCAGTCGCAGGACCCCCAGACCTTGCCCCACTTCCCCCAATCCTGGGGCAGGACCCCCCCGTACGTCGAAGACGCCCCCCACTCCTACCGGCTGGACCCCCAGCCCTCTGCCCTGCCCTTTACTCTTGCCAGATGGGAAACCCGATTCCCCCACTCTTGCTGTGGCCTGCCCAAGGCCATCTAGAGGTGTGGCTGGAAGAGCAGTGACCTGCCTCTGGGACACCCTTTCAGACACTCCCCCCACCCCCACCTCTGCCCAGGTTGGAACCTTTAGTTGGAGGGACTCTGTTCCTCCTTTCTTTATTTTATTTTTTAATATTTATTCATTTATTTGTTTGTTTTTAGTTGTAGTTGGACACAAGACCTTTATTGCACTTACTTATTTTTATGTGGTGCTGGGGATCAAACCCAGGGTCACACACATGCGAGGCCAGTGCTCTACTGCTGAGCCACAACCCCAGCCACCTAATTTCCAGGCCTGCTGCCTTCTGTCACTGAGTGGCAAGAGAACCTGGCTGTAGCTAATAGGGGTTCACTTGATGCTTCTACTATGTCCCTGTGGCTTTGAAACTTTACTTCCTTTTTTTTCTTTTCTGATCTTCTTTTTCCTAAACTTCTCCTCCCTGATCTTCTTTTCCCCGTTCTCCTCCTTCCTGGTCTCTCCTCCCTGATTTCATTTTCTGTGAATCACCTCTATATAAGCCCCCAATTCCTGTGGATAGGCTTTGGGACAAGAGTCCATTGTGTTTCTTCTTTGCTAGCAAAGCAATAAATCTTTTTCATTTTTCTCAAAACCGTGTCCTCGTTATGTTATTGGATTGGCATCAGGGACAAGGACCAAGCTTTTAGCAACAGTGGGCAGGACGTGGACCATCTGAGTTTATTGATCTTGCCTGTTAGGGCAGAGTGTAGCAGAGGCACCCCCAACCTAGCGAAGGGCTACGTCAGCACCGTGATACCTCGCAGAAGAGCAGGGGCTCAGAGGTGAGACCAGAGAAGTGAAAAGACAGATGCCAGTCCAAGAGGCAGTGCTGTGTCCAGTGTGGGCAGCAGCAGGACACCATGCAGGAAGCGGGTCTCCTGGGGAGCTGGACCTGGCAATGGGTCTCTGGTGGAGTCCCTGGAAGAAGGCAGGGTCAGTTCTGTGCATGGGAGCTGAATTGAAATAGAAAGCTCCCATAAGGAGGTAATCACTAGAACCAGGGTAGATGACCAGACCAGGGCCACCAGCACCATCTACCCATTTGTCTGTCCTTCCCTCTCTTCATCTGTCCATCTATCTAGTCCCTCTCACTCACTTATCTGTCCACCCATCCATTTGTCTGTCTTTCAGCCACCTGTCTGGCTTTGAATCTGTCCATATGACATTTGAAGTCTGTTATGACAGATTCAGTGGCAGGTTGGCCAGACACCATGGGAAGACAGATCTACACTTAGAAGTCTGATGGACACCTCAAACTCAACTTGTCTCCTCCTCCTGCTGCCAGACTTCTGCTCTAACATCTAACCCTTCAGCTTGCCAGGGCCATCCTTGGCTATCCAACTCTCTCAGCCATCTCTGCCCGCTCTGTCCTCTTGGCTATTTCTCAATACACCTGGGGCACAACAGCAGTGTCTACACTGTTTTTCCCCTTTCCAGGTGACAGTTTGTCCAGCTGATGGAAGATTGGGGAGAATACAGATCTGACACCATACTTCCTCCTGGGGGGCCCTTGTTGCTCCCAAGTCCCTGAGAAGGCAGGCCCCTGTCCACCTGTCTGTCTGTGCCGCTCACCTGCACAGTCTTGTTTATGCTGACCACAGTGCCTCCCTCCTTTCAACAAGACACTTTGGCCTGAGGTCTCCCCAGGAACCTCTCAGGTGAGTGGCTCATTTTGGGTTCTCACAGCCTTCCCTGCTTACTTGTGGGGGTGAAGCTTGCTTTGGCCTATCTCCTGGGACCTTGGCTGTGATCTTCTCTGTTGGGGGGTCGCGTCAGCTGCACCTGCCTTGAAGAGTGTTCTGAGCTGAGCACCCAAGAGGTGCTCCTGAAATTCCAGCTCTCTGTCATAGGTCAACAGTGCTCTGCTGCACATGGTCATCTCTCTCCTGCTGGATTCTAGGTACCTGAAGATCTTCGTTCTTTTTATTCTGATTCCTGATAGAACAGGTGCATAGCCCCTTCTCTGTGATTCCAAAATGCAGAAAGCTCTGGAAGCAGAAAGATTTTGTCCGCCTGTCAATTTGATTCCAAAATTCAATTGCTGCAAAAACTGACCCGCCCTAAGGTGTTGGTAGCATCCCTGTCTGGTCAGGTGCCGCTGCTGTTTTAGTATGACATGTGTGTTTTAATTTAAAAAGCTTACTTGTCCTTTGGCAATTCTAATTGAACTTTGAATACATAGAAGAGTTAAATGCACCCCATTGCTCACTGTGAGAAGGGCACATAGAAGCACTGTCCTTATAATGGGGCAGAAAGTCGCATTGAAGTTGGGAAGCCCCCCCCCCCCCCGCCCCCGTCTTAGGAAATCAGAAGACAAGTAGTTGAGGGTTACAGCAACATGATGACCAAGAACCATGGAAACAGAGAACCCAGTGTACGCGGGGACTTTGCCAGGAGTGGATGGAGCGAGCCGGCGATGGAGGTGCACAGTAGGGAGGGGCTGGGGGTGAAACCAGCTGGACTGCGCAGGAGGAGCTGCGCTTTAAAGGTGAGCATGAATATTCAACAAGTGCCAAGGTGTGAAACCGTCTGCAGAGCTGAGTCTCCCACAAGCTTCTCTTCAAGGAACAGCCGAAAATTACACGGATGGATTTTTCTGAAATCAGGTCCCATGGAAACTGTGGTCTGAACAAGTGCCTGGAGCTGAGGCAGCAGCTTGGCTGTGCTGGTTTCCAGGAAGGCGGGGCCATGCTGGTGAGGGAGCAGCCGCAGGTGTGCGTGGGCAGGTGTGCGTGGGCGGGCACCCCTTTCCGTGTTATGCAGATGAACACCTGAGAACTACTCTCTGCATACTTGGCAATCCCTTGCGTCAGTGCCCTGGATTCAGTGCAGATAAGCTGGCCCAGGAGAGAGGAAGCAGTTTGTCATTGGGCCCAGCCCTCCACACTTCTCTTCCTGATTGTCTTTCAGATGGTCCTGAATCTGGCATTTACTTCTCATTTGGAAAGGAGTCTTACACTCCATGAAGATCAAACATAAATGCTTTTTTTGGGTAGGGGTCATACCATTAACAGTGACCAGGGCTTCCCACACATGTTCTGTGGCTGGGGTGTATCTCAGGGGAGGAGTGCTCGCTTGGCACCCCCAGCACCAGGGTTGAGGGGTAGAGATAAAAACGCTCCAAGACTTGGTGGTGAAACAAGACATTCCAGAGCGCAGAGCTCTGCTAGTGTGCTCAGCCTGTGACCTCAGACAGTTCTTGAAACTGAACGGTCCAGTGGCAGAAGGAGGCAACAGCAGACCTCATTGTTGACCCCAAAGTCATAAAACAGGAGGAAACATCCCACATGGTGATGAAGCCCTCTGCCTTCTTCCCTTGATGGAGAAATTTCTAGAATGGGGGAGACATTGCAGATGCTGGGGATCCTGCAGACTGTATGGTCATCACATGTTACCTGCTCTTTGCTAGTTTCAGGGACACTTCTCAGCGATCTGGATCAGTAGGTAAAGGGGAAGGCTCCGTCATGGGCCTGGCAACTGGGGTCTCTGTACTGAGGTCAGGACTTGGGGCTCCACCACAGCTGGTTCAATGCAACCTCTAAATCTGACCACAGCATATGACACTGCCAGTCCTTCCCAAGACCCCAGACCAGACATGGCCCTCCGCATGCTCACACACAGGCATGCAGCTTCACTGGAACCTATGTAGAGTTGAAGTTTCCTGGACCACCTTTTCCTTGGGAATGAGAAGTAGTAGAACGTGTGTATTATCTGGTATTTATCAATCACTTTTTTACCTATATAAATCAGAAACATGCTGTAGTACTATTTATGGGGTATTTATCCCACTTAGCAGTGATGAATTTGGTTGTAGAAATATTAATGTATTTAATTTGGGGGTCCTGATCTAGACCCCAGTTGAGGGTTGTGCAATGTGTATTTTCTCCTTTTATTTTTTTCCCAGTACTGAGGGCTGAACCCGGGGCCTCATGTGTGATAGGTCAAGGGCCTGCCATTGAGCCACAATGTTTGCTCCTATGTGTTAACTGGGCTCTGGATGGTGTATTTGGATATTTTGTTTGCAAAGTGGCTTTAATTGCACTCCTACTGTTTCCTTGCTCCTTAGGAATGTGACTCTGCAGCTCTCCTGATGGTGGTGGTAGTGTCCTCTTTGGGCTGGGCAATGTCCAATGTGGTGGAGTGTGGTGAACATGACTGGTCCAGTTATGAGCCTGGGCTGCCAAAGTGTTGTGGTCTTTCTCTCTCAGAACTTCCAGCTGCTGTGTAAGGGGCCTGGGCCCAGGTGTTTGCCCATGAGGGCCTCCTGCACCGAGGCTGCCCAT